GCGGCATGGCCATGGACTGCGAGAGGTGCCAGTGCCACAGCGAGGACAAGCGCACCGCCATCCTCTACACCCTCCTCAGCCAGAACCTCAGCCACAGCCGGGGCAGCCACAGTCCGACCCACCAACGCTAAAAAAAGCGCCGGACCGTCTGCTTCCGCACGCCCCATACCACCTGCCAGGCAGCCTCCAACGTGCTGGTAAAAACTGTCAACTTCATGAAAAACCTTCCTTCCTTCCACCTCCTGCCGCGAGAGGATCAACTCCTGCTGCTGGACAGCTGCTGGGTTCCCCTCTTCCTCCTGGGGCTGGTCCAGGAGATGGTGACCTTCGAGGTGATGGAGACCCCGGCCCCCAGCATGCTCAAGAAGATCCTCCTCGATGGCCAAAGCAAATGGCAGGAGCCCGAGCGGACGCAGCCCACGCTGGCTGCCGGTCCTGCAGACAGTCGCATCTGAACGCGCAGCTCTGGGCTGGGAGGTGGGGAGGGCTGGTTATCTTCTCCTTAACACCCAGCAATGCCAAATGCAGCGGGAAGCGGGGAGGAGGGATGTCAAATGTAGCGGCAAAAGCCAGAGACCTTGACTTGCCCTGCAGACAGTAAAGAACCCTGGGATTTGACTTATAAAGCTGGGTTTGCCCAATTAACGACTTTTGCTCCCTCAAAACAGCATCCCTGAAAGAGCCACGTCTCTTGCTGCATACGTCTCAGCGCAGCCTCAGGGATCCGTTCCGAGAAATGGGGAAGGGTGGGAATGGGAGAAACCTGGGGCTGTTTTCCAGCCTCCCTCATCACCAGCTTTTCCTCCTCTCCCTTGGCAGATGTCCCCGGGCTGAAGGCCTCCCTGTACATCGAGAGCCTCCAGCGGGAAGCCCAGAGAGTGCTCCAGGAGGTCCTGCAGCCCCTGCACCCCGAGGACCAGGGTCGCTTTGCCCGCATTTTGCTGATTGCCTCCACCTTGAAATCAATCCCTCCCGCCCTCATCACGGATCTCTTCTTCCGACCTGTCATCGGCAACGCGGATATCGTGGAGCTCCTGGCGGAAATGCTGTACGAAACCACTGGCCGG